GTTCCTATCTACGCATGGCCGATTATCAAGAAAATTTTTTGAAGTCCTGTCTTTTCTTAGGCACAAGCTCAAATCGGGTGGAGAATGGTTTCGGTACGGAAGACGTCCCCATCTTAGAGGATACTGACGGCAAGTCCAATACAACACCACAAGAGGTAGGGCATTTTGGTTTGGAAAACATGAATTTAACTACCCTAAACCTATGTACATCCACACAATACCGTCATGATTGTTGGAAAATGCCACTCCTCATTCTGGGTCTCGTTTTTTACAAGCTGCCAGATACCTTACTGTACGAGTCACTTTTGAAAAAGGAACACTGAGAGAAGTTATAAACCTTATGCCCGCAGCTTGCTTTCTCGGCATACCTGTATCTTTATTTCTGAGAATTTCTGCAAATATAAAGCTGAACCTCCTTGATTTGCTCCTTAATGTTGCTTCCACCTCTCACATTGACTTTTGTCTTTCACTGCTATGTTGTCTTCTTACTAGACCACCCGAAGTCATATAGTGTGCTCTACATCATTGCCTAATAGGCGTTTCTGGGGGAAATTGATGACGAATTAAGGTCTGAGAAAGAGAGGCTTTTGTTAAAAATCTGGTCATCGCACAATGATGAATAACTAAACTTTCGCAGTTTATAAAACCCTTTTTCTGAATCAAGAATGGATTCTGTAAAATACTTTTACAAGAGATTGGTCTTGATCAAACACTGACTCTGGTGTATGTAATTGAAAAGCTATGAAAACAAACTCAATCAAGCGATTTCAAATATCTGATTTAATAATTAGCCAAGCGCAGACTTATGTCCATTTGCGTAAACGGAATGAATAGGCGGCACAACAATAGGATCCCTTGGTTCACTCGAGCTTAAATAAGCATAGGTGTAAACTGAGGGGAAGTCCGCATTACGTTTAAGTTTTGACAGATCCGATCAGTCCAGTCAGGGCAGTAATGAGAAAAAGGAATTGTTAGCCCATTCGTCATCAATCAAAATGTGCGTGGCTTTCAGCTAAAATTAGGTAATGGATTGCAGCTTTTTTCTTAACTAGCCATTCAGCAACCCCACCTTTGCCCTACTTCACCTTCGA